GGCAACAAAGGGTACCAGACCACTTCGTACCCATACAACAACCAGCCATACGCGACCTGGGGACCAACCCAATTCGCCAACCCCGCCATCCCCTCGATGCCTACAACCCCAGGACCCTCGTTCAAGGGCGACACACCCAAAGGAAAGAAGGGGTCCGGGAAAGGCAAGAAAGGCACCAAATCCCACGGGAAAAACAAGGCGCGTTAGGGACAGCACGGCCCAGGGGACCAGTCCCCTGGAGCCGACCCGGCGCGTTGCCTCCATCTTACCAGACAACTCATACAACACACGCCCATTATCCTGATCTCAGTTTTCGACGGGATCGGCACAGTGTCACTTGCCCTGCACCAACTGGGCGCCAACGTCTCCCACTGTTTCCGGTGGGAAACCGATCAGTCCTGCAATCAGCTACCTCATTCACTCTTCCCCACGACGCACATGGGCGCCGTAGAAGATTTTGACATCGAACAACTGGCTGCGATCATCCAGGACATACCCAATCACGAGAGACACATTATCCTCTTCACCGGTGGCCCACCGTGCAAGGACTACTCCAACATTAAACAACACCAACCGGGCCGGGCCGGCTCACAGGGCAGCCTCTTCGACACCGCACTCTCCATCCGCGACGACATTCAGCACAGATGGCCACATCAATCGCTCACCCTGCTAGAGAATGTCGTGCCTCACCCCGAGGTACGCGACGACTTCGACCAGCTGTCCCACTCCATGGGCCTACGCCCAGTCCTGATCGACGCGGCCGACGGCCAAATCATCTCTCGTCCCAGAATCTGGTGGGCCTCGGTCGATTGGGAATCCTTGCCTGCCACATTGAGCAGGCATACACCTTGGCAACTCTCCCTCGACACTCAGCTGTTCCCACCGGTGCTCTTCAATCCCATTGCAGCCGAACTACAACCAGACTGTCACATCCGGGACTTCGACCCGCCGAGTGTCCTAACACACGGACAACTCTTCCACTGCCTTACCACCCAGGCCAGTACGGACGAAGGCCGCCCACCACCACGCAGCCAACAACTACCAGACGACACATGGCAACGGTGGCAAGCCGACCACAAACAATTCGCCCCGTGGCAATACCAACAGAAATACCTGGTCCGGAAACACGGACACGACTGGCAAGTCGCAACACCCGAGCACCGCGAAGCAATGATGGGATTCCCGCGCGGCTGGACGGGACCACACAACACCGACCGGACCAGGAACACCATGCTGGGGAACTCCTGGCATGTGCCCACAGCCATGTGGATCCTATTCCTTTTGCTACTACAGCCAGCCTTCGGAATTCCCCCGCCCATGCAGCGGGTACGTCGCGGATCCCTCGGAATGATGGTCGACCTCTGGCTTCACAACCCACGACCATGGGGACCACCTCCGAGAGCATCGGAAACGCTACATATGCCACAGAACGACTGGCAGGACCACTTGACCTGGGCCAAACACCACGCTACCTCGCTGCAACAGCCCCAGCACTGCGACCCGACCATTTTGTGGGCCATCGCAATGCAAAGGACCATACCACAACTGCCACAACTACAGCACAACGTGTTACTCGACATCGCGGACCTTCGCGATGACCTGACTACAGATACACTTGCATGGTTCGAACAGCTGCCCCCACACTGCCAGCGAGCCTATCGACAACCGAAGATGATCACTCAGGTACCACTCATGACACACTTGCTACATTTGCTTAACTACCCACAGGCACAACTCCTGCACGAGGAACTCTCTCTAGGCTTCGACCTCCTGGGGCCTCTGCGACCCGGAGTCAATTGGCACATTCGCCACGACCACAAATACCTGGACCCATGTGACCTTGCAGAACTCAGGTCATTCAACAAAGCCTACATCCAGCGCAAATTACAACAACACAAGATCGACGACCACTGGACTCTTATGGCCACCGAAATCGCGGGGGAAGTGGCCCAGGGACGTATGGCCGGCCCCTTCGAGGCACCGACTCATTGGACCTCTCGCACAGTACCCCTGCACCTTTTCCCCCACACCAGCCGGCTCCTTCCTATCCCACATCGCGATCCCATTGTGGCAGTCGCATTCAGCATACAACAGACCGGATCGGACGGAAAACCCAAAGTCCGGAGAGGAGAAGACTGGCGCCGCAGCGGCCACAACCAGACGTGCTCTATGCACGATCAACCCTACCATCACACACCCGACCACTACATCCAATGTGCGAGACAATATCACGACGACGCACACCCGCTACATGTGTGGGGACACGACCACGACGGCGCCTACCGTCAACTGCCCCTCGCACAACCGGAGGTAGCATACGTGCTACTCATCACACCCGACGGCCCAACTCTCTGGCACCACCACGTGCTCCTGTTCGGCTCCGCTGCCAGCGTCTGGGGCTACAACCGCTTCGGCGATGCACTCACAGCACTCGCCCGCGTACTAACACTCACACCTGCCCTGCACTACGTTGACGACTACGGGGCCATACAACCCAGTCACATCGCGACCAGTTCCTTCTCCTCATTCAGCAAGCTCAACTCACTACTTGGATTTCATATGAAGACATCCAAGGAACAACCACCGGCGCCCTCTCACAAAATACAAGGGGTTTATGTCGACCTGTCGGCAACACACGCAACCCTTCGACCGTGCCCAGACCGAGTCCGTACACTGTCACACACCCTGTCTCAGTGTCTCGAACAGGGAGGTATGTCGAACGACACCGCCCGACGCACTGCCGGCAAGTGCAACTTTGTCACCGGACACCTGTTCGGTCGAGTAGGGCGATCGGCGTTAGCCGCCCTATACCACAAAGCACACAGCACTTCCGACCGGATCGACAAACCAACTCGAGCTGCCATTCTGTGCCTCCTGAATATCCTGCAACATAGCTCACCCCGCAGCGTCCCACTGTCCACCAGGCCCAGAGACCTTTCAATCATATACACCGACGCGTTCTGCCGGCAGGGCGAGACGGTCTGGCGTGTCAAGGACGCAGGGGATCAGGATTGTCTGCCACCCGATTGGTCGCACGACAACGGATGGGCAGCGGTGCTGTTCAGCCCACAGGCACAAAGGACCCGCGTGGTCTCGGGCGCACTACCCCCTAACTTACTCCAACAAGTGAGTACTGGCACCAACGCCATTTATTTCCTCGAGGCATGGGCCGCGTTGATCGCTCCTGTGATCTTTCGACCATGGATCACTGACACATACCTCCAGTTGTGCGACAACGAGGCGGCCAAACACGCCATCAGACGGGGAGTTGGGAAACACCAACCACTAAACTGCCTGCTCGGTGCACATTGGACATGGCACAACCGACAGCAATTGCAGTTGCATATTGCCCGTGTGCCCACACATGCTAATATAGCCGACCCCTTCAGTCGACATGACATGTCCCTTGCCTCGAAGCACCACTGGCAGATTCTGGAACCCCCCATGCACGCTCTACATAAACGGACGTGCAAAATCATTGGCGATATTGAGTTCGCCCATGCCGTCGGATTTGACGACATAAAGGAACTCCAACAGTTCCACAGGAATCATTCCTCCTGAACCCGACTTGACTTCCACGTCCCGTGAGAATCTTGTCCACAGTAAGGAGACTTGATCGATGTAAGGATGCCTTCAACGTGCCTTTTGTCTAGGTCGTTCGCCTTCGGCTTCACCTTCGACGGGAGTTGACCTACGACGGGAGAACGTCCACTCCCTCTTCGAAACTCTGCTGTACAACATTTTGGGTTTGCATGCACTTGCATTTGCTTACCTTTTATTTTGTTGTACTTTACTTTCGAGTCAGTGGTGTCTGAGAGACACGCACACCGACTCCAGAGATTGAAACAGATCGACCAACAGGTACGATCCCACCCACTTGAGGCAGTGCGGTGAAAATAAATCGACCGACGCTGGTTGCCGTCGTACTCTCTGGAGCGGTTTGTTGTTGCGGTTAACACTTGTGTTAAAAGTAACAACCGATAGCGGAAGGCATTTGAATCACACTCAGATTCGAACCTTGAGTGCCTGCAGGATGACACTGCTTGATTCATGCTCCGTTCGCCATTTTGGCGAATTAGCCAAATTTTTCTTTCCCACCCACCCTCACCAGTTTTCACTGCATGCCCTCAGTACCTGTCGGTCTGCATTTATAGCATCGAGTGAGAGGACGGGAGAACGTCCACTCCCTCTTCGAAACTCTGCTGTACAACATTTTGGGTTTGCATGCACTTGCATTTGCTTACCTTTTATTTTGTTGTACTTTACTTTCGAGTCAGTGGTGTCTGAGAGACACGCACACCGACTCCAGAGATTGAAACAGATCGACCAACAGGTACGATCCCACCCACTTGAGGCAGTGCGGTGAAAATAAATCGACCGACGCTGGTTGCCGTCGTACTCTCTGGAGCGGTTTGTTGTTGCGGGTGGGTTTTACTGCGGGTTGGTTTAGGGTTGTTTGGCTTAGGGTTGGCTTTGGGTGGGTTTGATGTGCGTTTTGGGCGGGTTTGGGGTGGGTGGTGCTTTTCGGATTGGTTTAGGGAGGGTGTAGGATGAGTTTGGGGTGGGTCCCACCCCAAACCCAGCTTACATCGAGCATAAACCCATCCCAAACCCACCCAAATTTGACGCAACCCGCCCAAAACCCACCTCAAACTCACAAAACAAGCTCTAAACAAAGACCCCAGTCATGCTCGAAAATTTGGCTTGTGATGCCTGATGAGTTGTTTTTAGTTGTTGATGCTGCAGTTTTCAGGCTTCGCAGTGGGTTTTGAAGCAACAGGTGTCCACAAAGTGTTTTGTGATGCCTAATAAGGTTTTCTTGATCTTTGGAAATATGTGTTTGATGCCTAACAAGTTTTTGGATCGTTATTTTTATTTTTATTTTTAGCACATCCATATTAATTTAAATTTCTAATAAGTCCTCCTTTATTTTTCCGATCTTCAAGAATAATGTTTTTGATGCCTAAAAATTGGCGGCAAGACTCGGCTGGCCACGCCAGGCCTCCAGACCGTCCAGACCGTCCAGACCGACTTGAGCCCAAAGACCCTTGGGAGGCAGGAAAGATTGAAACTACCGCCTTGGAGTTGGCGAGCAGGGCGCCAAGAATGCATGGGGCAGTGCCCCATTCAACACTGGCTGTTGCCGGCGCTCACGTTGGCCATTTTTTTGTGTTGTCTTACCAGTAGAGTTGGCGAACCGGTGGCCTGACGTTTCAAAAGAATCTATTCTTTTTCTCTTTCTCTTTCTTTCTCTTTTTCATTTTTTTCTTTCTCTTTCTCTTTTTTTTGTGTCTTTCTATTTTTTCCTAGTCTTTTTCTTTCTCGTCGTTTTCTTTCTCTTTTTCTGTCTTTGTCTTTTTCTGTTTCTCTTTCTTTTCCTTCTATTTTTCTATCAATTCATTGCTCCGTGCCCGACCTCGCGAAAGTACTGCGCCCTCCACAAAAGTCCGCAACTGACCTTGCAAAAGCAGTGCGCCTGCCACGCCAGACCTTGCCATGTGCCTGCGATGCAAACCAATGTCGCGGACAGTCATGCAAAGGGCAGTTGGTCACGCAAGGCCGGCGCTTCGTCAAGAGTTGTCGGCTGCTGAACTGAACTGGTCAGTTGAGGAACACGGCTTTCCGGTCAACCTGCTCCCCTTCCACTGCACATTGCACCGCCTGGCCACACGGTTGCGACCAGGCACCGCCAGGCTAACTTTTGAGCATCCCGCGAAGCTGAAACTCGCAGAGGCCCGCACTTTTGCTACATCCCTATTCCCCCCCGCACGCGCATCTTTTGCGCCTGCTGGTGATTTCCTTTTTTAGCTCAAGCTAGCTTTCCACTAACCCTACCACGGAAGTTCAATGTAAGCTTTTGACTACTGAGATGTGTTTTTTGCCAGGTTCCTGCGCGGCCAGTGGCGTTCACGATCCTTCCTATAAAGGAGGAGGAGCGGGCTGCGCGAGAAAAAGCGAGCAGTTTGCCATGACCTTTGCTGATTCTGAATGTTGCTTGGAAAGCCATGCGCAAATGATTCCAAAACAAAACTCGAATGCCACCTGAATGTTGCTTAGCACTTTTGTGGGCGCATTGAGCAAATTTCCGGTAGATTACTTGCGCAGTTTCTTTGTGGCACGCGCCAAGCTGCTAAAGGTCCCCCCGAGTTCTGCAACTTCAGGAAACGACACATCATAGGAACAGTTTCTTCACAGTCTTGAACCCAGTGCTTGGCTCGCACGTCGCTCTCCCCAACCGTGCCTGCGTGCTTGCCTGCCAGCTAGGATCCGCAGGCAGCGAACCAGGTAATGAGACGTTGTTGCCGACGTCGTTGAAGTAGCATGGAGTGGGCGAAGCCGTCCGGTCACATCAGATCGAAGAGAACAATTGATGAACTCTGTCTGAGCGTGCAGGGGTTTGAGACTTCCTGTGTCAGGAGGCGCTGACATTGGGCACAGAGCGTGTGAAGCTTAGTTCGCATCATGTTCGCAGTTTCCGCGGGTTCCCATCGAATTGTTGCAAGTTTCGACCTCTGGTGGATCTGCCAGCAGACTGCTTGAGTGAGTTCGAGAAAATGAAGAGGGAAGGGGGAAAAGTCTGACAAGCAATCGGGCAGAAAGCGCAGGCGAGGCAGGAGGTAGGGTAAGCAAGAAGGAAGCAGGCAGGAAGCAGGCAGGAAGCAGGCAGGAAGCAGGCAGGAAGCAGGCAGGAAGCAGGCAGGAAGCAGGCAGGAAGCAGGCAGGAAGCAGGCAGGAAGCAGGCAGGAAGCAGGCAGGAAGCAGGCAGGAAGCAGGCAGGAAGCAGGGATGAAGCAGGAGGCGGGCATGCAAAGAAGCAAGGAATTTAGAGAATTACTGATGCCGCTGTCCTGTAGTTAGCGAGAAGACAAACAAAGCCAGCGGCAGCCAACTTTGGCGAGCGTGCTGCCAACAGGCGGCAGTGGATGCTGTGCCACGCCTGTCACACAATGCCAAGAACAGTGACCACTAGTGAATTCCAGTAGCCACCTATCAGGCAAGCAGGCTGTGTCCACAGCAAAATCCAACAAAGGCTCGGCCGGCCTTGTGCCCAAGTCAGTCAAACTATCTAGATACCCTGAGAAAAAGACTTCCAAAATGGACAAACGGACGGGCACAACCTAGGCAGAGCAAAGCAATGTGTCGTCGCGAGGCAGTTGCCCTCTCCCCCCCCTCCCCCCTTCCCCCAGCCCCCCCCCCACAGAACAGAACTCAACATGTCATCCAGCAACAATCATTGAACATGGGGAATGCGCCACGTGCACGTGTTCGAACGCGGCATTCCTTTTGCGATCGCTGAACCCTTTTGTGAGCTGTTTTTTTTTTTTTTTTTTTGTTGGTACAATGCAACCAATAACACCCAGAAACAGCCATGAAATAGAATGGAGTGCCTTGTCAGATCATTGTTGGCTGGAACGAGCATCTTGGATTTCCATTTTGCATGCCTGTAACTCGCAAGGGGTGGGTGGAATGAAGTCCCGTGCAAGTTGTAGTGATGAGGGTCCCTCCTTGCTTCCTTCTGAGAAACGCACTTACCATAGACTGCCAAGCTGCTATCTGAGTTGGGGATCAGACCTTTCCATTAGCCATGGATTTCTAGTGGCTCATGCGGGGTCTGGAAATGAGAGGGTTCTCCCCACTCCACTTGGCATGCTGAATTTGCTGCACATCACTAGTCATAGCGCCAGTAGATGTGAAAATGCGAGAGGTGAGGCAGGCCGCCTCAAGGCGGGCAACGTTAATTTCTACATCATCAAGGACGGGTCCTCTCTAGCTCCTTTGCAAACTGGTAGCACACAATAGCTGATATGGCAGGAGGTGAGAAGTTTTTTCCCTCCTACCCCCCCCAAGTCATCAACGCAATGTTTGATAAGTAGGTGCCCCATAGCCAACCAAAGCACAATATTTTCATAGACGCACATGAGAGGCACTGTTTTTGATGAAGCGCACAACTTTTACCCAAAAACGCGGGCCTCAGCAGCGTCCCACGCTTGAGCTTGTTGGCGCGAGGGAGAGTTCGCCAGCTAAGTTTTTTCTGAGGTGACCATGAAGAGGGCACAGGCGCAGAGGCAACATTGGTATTGTGCAGTGCGTGCGTGGTTTCATTGCTTTGCTCGATCCTGGGGGCAGGGCGCCCATGGGATGGATTTGTGCGACAAGGCCTTGTGGGTTGGGTAGTGGCAAGGCCTCAGTTTGGGGAACTATTGCAGGGGGTTGGCTTGACAATAGAATTTTCATCTACCTTTTTCAGCCAGGACGGGGTTTTTGTGGACGAGGGCTTTATGTCCTCCGAGCTTTGCCAGCAGGTGGGCCCTTGTATTTCTTGTTTGCGCATGCAAGTAGGCCTTTGTCGCAGGAGAGTAGTGGAGCAGAGGGAGCAGGGATAGATAGCATGGACTTCACAGACTTCGAGATTGACGACTCGACAAAATCTACGCTTCATGCTGTGGCTGGGATTGAATCTCACAGGCTTCCGAGGGAAGGCGTCGGGCTCGCCTAAGGTTCGGGTATTGAGATCGGGTGCCCACAAGGGCAAAATGTCTTCTTCATCGAGGTCACCTGCACGCCAAAACTTGAGGACACAGGGCCAGGGATGGCCACAGTTTCGGGGCATCGGGTTTTCGGGAGGTCAGTCGGGCTCACAGCGCTGCAACCTTGGCATCGCGCCCTGAGATGAAGCGCCAGGAGTGAAAGTTCTGATAGCAGGGACCTGGGCAGCTTAGCTGCCAGTTGCGAGACGGAACATCGTGCTGACATACTGCTGAGAGGTTGCAGTCGGCTGCAACACACGAAACATTTTCGTCCATGCTGCAGGCCCGTCGCCTGACATGCAGAGGCTTGGTTTTTCTCTTGTTGTCAAACATTCTGAGCTGCCATGTCAAGGCTCGCAAGGATTTTGCCAGCTCCTGCCGCAGCACCAGAGGCGGCTCGCCAAGCCTGGAATGTGGTTGCGTTAGTGTTTGCTTTGGCATGTGTATGTATTTGTATGCGTACGGGGCTCGGAGTTTTTTGCGTCACACTGGCTCCCGCTTAGAGGGGTGGCCAGTCATGGTTGGTCGACTGGTCCGTCGGAAACAATCCCAAAACCAGCCCTAAACAAGCTCGAAACAACCCACCCTAAACCTATCCTTTTGGCTCCTACTTGATGTATTCCCGGGCTGTTTTAGTCCCTGAATCTCAGTGGGCACCTTCGTCGTTGCCTTGCTGAGTCACGACCCTCGGGACGCAACAGCAAAGAGAGAGAGAGAGAGAGAGGAGCGAGAGAAACCTAGCCTAAAGGCACCCGAGCAGGCGTCAAACAAAAGCCAGCAACAACGCTTCAGCGTATGTGCGTGTATGCTTGTGCATGTCATGTCCTTGTGTGTATGTGTGCACGCTTGGTCGCGGCTTTCTGGGTTGCGTGGATGAGTCCAAAGAAATCTGTTTTTGTTTCTGTTGTCCTGTTCTGTGCCGTTGTAGGTGGTTGTGTGTTGTGTCTTGGTTGTGCTTGTCGTTGTGGTTGTGGGTTGCTGCTTGTCGTTCTGGTCGTTGCTCCGTGGCTATGTTGTGTTGTTATCCGTGTTTCTTTTTGCCTGGCACGGTCAGTGCTGTGCGGATGATTGGCGGAATCAACAGTTGGGCAGTCAAGGGTGCATAACTTGAATGAGATGGTGGGGCGCAGCATGGTTGGGACGATTCTTTCGAGGAGTGGTAAAAGCAGGGCTTGGGGTGAGGGTTGATCGTTGGGGTTTTTGGTTCAGTAGTTGTTCGTCATGAAGTAGCAACCTTTTTTGCTTTCATCATTCCAGTTTGCATGTGGGTCTCTTGGTTGGGGTCACCCAATGAACATATTTTTGTTTTTGAAAGAGGAAGCCCTTTCAGTAGTTGTCATGTTCTGGGGGGTTGGGCGGGCCTCTTGCTTTGTCATTGGTGGGTTGTTTTGGAATGAACGAATTGGCAGTACAGTCAAGGATTACCAAAGCTAAAGCTCATTCACCTCATCCTTTGCAGCTTCCTATTCCATTCCACCAGCATTCAATCATTCACGTCGGTGAGTATTTCAACTCATTGTCTTTGTTTATTTTTCGCATTGCTGCACATAATGGCTGACCCTTGTCGCTTCAAACTCTCCGTCTCTGCTTAACTTTTTGCAACATTCCATGATGATGTTTGCCTCTACTAGGTTATGATGTCAAACCTGGCAACAGAATATATTAGGCTTAATCCGCGATTGTCTCTGAACCTCATCATCTTCAGTTGTAGATAGAGGGTGGTTTTTCACGAAATGCATCAGAACCCTGTTCTCTTCTTCAATCGCTTCTTGTTCGTTGATTCTTTCTTAACTACTAGTCTTATATTCCAACATCTCTTCAACTAAGCTCATACTTTCCCTTACTATGACAAGGTGCTTAGTTGTTGATAAGGAGCCTCTTTTTTTTGCCGACTTTAAGGGGGATTGAACCCCACCCTGTGGTCGTCTAGGGTGGTGAATAATACATATTGGCAATGGATTGGTTCTCCTCGTCATCAGATTGAGGTGTGGCATTTTGTTTCGCTGTTAGGTTCTTCTTCTCCCTCGTCTGGCACTCTGGTTAGGTTCTCTTCTCGGTTCTCCCGCTTCTTACTTCTTCAATCATATCATCTAGCATCTGGGGCACAATGTTTCTTTGAAGCATAGCGCTGTTTTCGTCATCAAAGGTTTCACGGAACTCATCCCTAACACCTCGGGCATTGCACACACGGCAAACCGAACACAAACAAGTCTTCCAAGGACATGCCAGCAATTATGTCGTTTTGTTTTCCTCGCCTTCAGAATTCCGAAGTGCTTGTTTGTTTATGCGCACCTTCGAATCCTCGCCTTTGCTGAACCGGTCGGCTGTCTATTCGCTGCTGTGTCCACACATGTTAGTACAACGTATGATGCCTGACATGCAACTGTGCTTGTTGTAGATTTATGTTCTATTTCCACACTGTCAGACAGTATTTTACATCCGGAGTTCCTTTGGACGACTGAATTCACCCAAGACACTCGTTCTTTGCCCTTGTCAGTAAGTTGCACTTGAGAAACAGTTCCCTACAGTGTTCTTTTTCATCATCCGCCCCAAAACCGTCATCAACGGAAAAAGGTCTCCGTATTCTGAAACCGCTACACGCGAGTAGTTCGTAGGAGTTCCTAGTGGATGAATATTTCCACTCATGTCATACTTTAAAACGCCACAGCACCCTGTCAGTTATAACCTCCGAACCTCATCCATTTCACCTTCGTGTTGTAGTTGTGTTCTATACCTTCCCCAACTTCAGCGTGGCTATAGTGAGGATGGTTGTATTTGACAGCATTTCGTTCTTGAACAGTCTTGTGGTCATACAGAATCTCTGTCAATTGCAGCCATGGAAATTCGGACTTGCTTACGAACCCGGTGTTTGAACTGGTTCACATTTCTTTTTCAAGTAGTTTTCAGGCTGGGGGCTTGGGCTCGGGTTTTGGAAAGCAAACATATTTTCCAGCAGTCCAATAGAATGGCGAAATTGACGAAACATCAATCAGTCATCAACATTTGTCATGACGTCCGAAACGAATACCAAATAGATTGAATGCACATGACGCCACGGGCAAAGGACAAGGTGGTTCCACAGTATATATGCCTTGTCGCAGTTTACATGCTTAGTCAATTCGGGGATGTAATGCCCATGGTGGAAAGAGACGGCAAAACACGTATTGGAAGCGTGAAAAGCCAAGTCTTACGAAGATGGCCTATCCAATCTTGGTGTACTCCGATGACGACAAAGCGCTTGCAACTAAAACCAAGTTTGGGACTTCCTCAACAGCGAGGGCGTCAGTCGCATCATAACGAAGACGCGCAAACGTGGCGGACCGTTTCATCAGGACGGAGGCTCTATCACAGCAGTATTCCGGCGCAGTTCATTCTTTAACAAAGATGACAGCGACCGAAGCGCACAAAAACAACAACGAAGTCAACGTAATGGTCAATCCCAACCTGAGAGAATAGAACTAATTGTATTGAATGACAATGTAAAAGGGGGCGTTTGCACCGACAGAAAAGAGCATAACTCAAATGGAGCCAGTTGAGAAGATTGAATACGATACTGGAAGCAACACTTACAGGGTGGAATGGTTGCCAACGAAGTGCTGTTAGCGAATGATTAGAAATAGACCCCGTTTCTTCATCAAGATCAATACTGTAACAAAGCAGCACGCCCTGGGAGTGCATGTTGTACATTTTGTGTGATGATAGCGTCAGAAGAACCAATAAACTCGAGAAAGCCAAACAAGAGCTAAACAAACAAAGCAAAAGACTATGCCAGCTGTCCTGCCTTGGGGCACATATTTTTTGGGTTATTGTCTAAAGTTGCGTTTAAATGTTTACTTATTTGCAGAGACTGCTGAATTCGAAAGGACACCCGCTGCACTATTTAATTTGAACCAGACAAATCATTCTTTATTTCCAATTCAAAATGGAAGTTCTGTTTGTACCCTTTCCTCATGAAATTCTACTTCATGTCAGTTAGAGGTTGAGTAGAACACAGTAAGCATATTAAGTATAAATTATTAAAAAATCAGAGGTGTTAAAGGCCTCTGCACCAGCATGACTGCAAACACAGTGTTTTGTAGCGGTTTGAGTACTCAACTCGGATCTCCGCCAATGGCCGCTATGCCAAGATATGCGTAGAGAAGCGAAACCACTTCTGCATCACAGGCGGCGACCAGGTAGCCGAGCGCATTGCTGGCATAGGCAAGCAAACACTGCGCAGGCTTGGTCAACTTGGGGGTAACAAAGACAGATTGGTGCGCCGCAATATCTTGGCTGCCTCTGTTTTGACTGCGCTTAAAGTGCATCGTCAAGAATGCAATGGTGTCCTGTCGCCCTCTCAAGCGTTCAAAGAACCTGTGTGGAAGGTGTGACCACTTTTTGCGCGGGGCCCTAGAAAAAAACACATTTGGACTTAGGATTCTGCAGCTTGCTTACATGTGAACTCGACAGGCCACTGGGGGAAGCAAAACCATGCTGTTGTTACATTATGTTAATGCGCTTCCAGAATGTTAATGTTACGCGGACGGAAAGGACGTTGATCCGCGCGTATCAGAGATGACGTGGCGGTTGTCTGTTCACACCGAATGTGATAGTCCAGTCATAGTGTCTATGTTATATCAGAATTGTGATTCGGCTTTGTTCTATTTACTGTACTCATCGTCATCATCATCATCATCAGCATGTTCCTTGGGTCGGTTCGGCTTTTCTTTTATTATTTTGCAGACTTCAGCTTGGTAGCATTATTCATATGTGATGAACTACATATTATACATATTCGTAATTGGGGCCGGCAGGTTTGTGTCATGATATGATTCCCTCGGGCCAGAAGCCAGGCTTTGTGACCAAAGAGGCTCTGGACTGCAAGAGCCACGGGGCCCCTTAGCGCGCTTTCCTGTCTAGCAAGCCTTCCGAGGACATGGTGTCATGGTGGTGGCAATTGTTTTGGCTTCCACAAGCAATTCTTGTTTGCGTGCCGTGTTGGTGCCCGCACAGTGCACTATCAGATCGCTGAACGTTTGCTTGGTTTACGCAGACGTAACGCTGTTGCAGACCTCCAGGGCTTTTTGCTGCTTTGCAAGGACAGGGGCTCGCGAATCAATTTGGAAGACGTGGCATGCGCTGCCCTAGTTCACACGCCTGAGCTTGTGGCGCGCGTGCTGGTTGCGCTTTGTAGACAGCGCAGCAGTCTTGAGCGATTTTCACAAAGCGCCCCTCAACAAGACACTGCTACTCGTGGGTTTTTGAGTGTTGCGCCAGGCTCGAATGTTGGCATGAGTGGGTAGAGTCCAGCGTGAACACTGCTGAACGACTCTTTTCTCCCACGGGCCCCGCTTCCGCAGGGTGTTTGCAAAGCCTTTTCGTTTGGCAGGGAACGACCAGAAACCAATGCGGC